AAAGCCCACGGCCCAGCCCCACTAGCCCACGGCACCGACCTAGCCCACGGCCCAGCCCCAAATCCCAGCCCAGCCCCTTGCTACCCAATCTAACACTCCCCCAAACACCCACCCCATGACAACCCGTGCCAAATCCGGAATAACACATCCCAAGCAAATCCTTAATCTTAATATCATTGGCCATATTTCCCCCCTCCCTCCCACCTACCGTAGTGCACTAAAAGATCCAAACAGGTATAATGCAATGTGTGATGAATTTAATGCTTTGATTTGCAATAATACATGGGAACTAGTGCCCCCTCCCCCACCCAACATGTTATCTCAGGGAAGTGGCTATTCCGTCACAAATTTGGCCCTACAGGGGATTTGTCTAGGTACAAAGCTCGTTGGGTAGTCCACGGGTTTAATCAGCGTTCTGGCGTTGACTACAGTGAAACGTTCAGTCCGGTCATTAAGCCCGCCACCATTTGCATTGTTCTCAGTCTTGCCCTGTCTCGGGGTTGGCCCGTTCATCAGCTGGATGTCAAAAGTGCTTTTTTTCATGGACATCTTCAGGATACAGTTTATGCCAACCAGCCATCTGGTTTTGAGGATCCATCCCGACCCCACTACGTCTGCAAACTTAAGAAAGCACTCTATGGCTTAAAGCAGGCTCCTCGATCTTGGTACCAGCGGTTTGCCGGCTTCCTTCAGCACATTAGGTTTCAAGGGTGCAAGATGGACACTTCTCTGTTTGTTTACTCTCATGGTATGCACATGGCCTGTCTACTTCTATATGTTGATGACATTGTTCTCACCGCCTCATCCTCCACCCTTCTCACCCGGATCACGGACCGTTTGAAGACCGAGTTTGCTATGACCTATATGGGCAAGCTACACTTCTTTCTCGGGATCAATGTTCAGCGCACCAAGGAAGGCCTCTTCTTACATCAGACTCAGTTTGCTCATGATATTCTGGACAAAGCAGGCATGCTTCAATGTAAGCCCATCTCTACTCTTGTTGACTCGGAAGGGGAAATGTCTGCCACCTCGGGCAAACCTGTCGTGGATCCCTCCCTCTATCGTTCTCTTGTAGGAGCTCTCCACTATCTCACATTCACCAGGCCGGATCTCACTTATGCAGTTCAGCAGCTATGCCTCTATCTCCACTCGCCACGGACCACCCACCTTACAACTTTAAAATGGGTTCTACGTTATCTTCACGGTACCACCACTCATGGGATTACCCTCACTCGCTCCTCACCAGATTTTCTTCGAGCCTACTCTGATGATGACTGGGCCGGATGTCCAGACACACAACGTTCCACCTCAGGCTACTGTGTCTTCCTAGGGGACAACTTGGTCTCATGGTCCTCCAAACGGCAACAAACCACCTCATGCTACTGTGTCTTCCTAGGGGACAACTTGGTCTCATGGTCCTCCAAACGGCAACAAACCACCTCCAGATCCAGTGCTGAGGCTGAATATAGAGTGGTTGCGAATGCCGTGGCAGAAACCAGTTGGATACGTAGCCTACTTCTTGAGCTCCAACAACCACTGCGCCGAACCACCATCATCTTCTGTGATAACGGTCAGTGCCGTCTACCTATCCTCCAACCCTGTCCAGCACCAATGCACCAAGCATGTGGAAGTTGATATTCACTTCGTACGAGACAAGGTCGCGCTGGGACATGTTCGTGTTCTTCATGTACCATCTTCTTTGCAGTACGCCGACATCTTCACGAAAGGATTGCCATCACTTCTCTTCACTGACTTCAGACGAAATCTTGGAGTACGCAATTCACGAACGGAGCTGGTAGCATGTTAAATATGTAAAGTATATATTCCATATTTAATACTCCCTCCGTCCTATAATGATCTTCCCGGTTCGCAAAACGAAGAAAAATCCCAAGTTTTTTCAATCTATTTTATTTAAATATTGGTATAGAAATAAAAAATAAAATATACACATTTAAAAACTACATCAAAAGTTCAACAAAACAAGTGGTGACAAGAATATTTTATTTTATCATATAGGCCATGAAAAAACACAAATAAATATAAATTCTCGTGAAGTTGGAATAGTGCTCTGGGAAGATCATTATAGGACGGAGGGAGTATTATTATTATATTTGGTAGATTCCTTGATTGTATAGGATTTACATTTAATACTGTTTCCTTTCCTATATGCCTCTAACGTGTATATAAGGGGAGGTAATTTACTTGTAATTATTATCGAATAATATAATTCTTCACCCTTCAACCAAACCTAAAAAAATGTCTCTTTTCTTCTCCTTTTTTTTCTTCATTTTCTACTTATCCATACAAAAATTATCATCTTTTTTTTTCTGTCCATTATTTTCTCTGTGTTAAGAAAAATATGAATTATTCATTTATCAATTAATTAGGTCATGCTCCATCATAAGTTGCAGGAACAAATTGTCCATCATTATTCATCACCATCAAGTTGTCATTTGTATAGTATGTATACTGTTTGTAATAGTGTTAGTACTAAGCCTCTCTACTATAAATAAGAGGCTTAGGATCCCTGTAAATTACCATTAAGAACAATAAGAAGAGTGAAGAATCAATAGAGAAGAAATCAGAAATATATCATATTTATCTTCCTAATTTCTGAGTAGTTTTTTTTCTCTCATTTTATAACACGTTATCACCACGAATTTGCTCAAAATCCTAGGAAACCTTGTTCCTCTCAGAAGGTATATTTATTTTATTTTCTTCATAAACAAACTAAAATATTTTCTTAAAAACTATGAGAAGTATGCTCTGTGATTGCCCAAAGTTGGGATCCTTCACATCAGAAACTTATAGTTATAAAAATAAAATTAGATAAATTAAAAAGGAATAAGCTTCCTCATAATTGCAGAAAATCACATTTTTGAAAGAAAAAAAAGGGTAGAATTTAATATGGAGTACTTAAGATTAAAAATAAATAAATTATATCTTTTAAACTAATCTTGAAAAATAAGATGTAAAAGAAATTAATGTGATTTAGCTATAAAAAAACATAGAAGACTTACGTAGTAATTTACTTTTCTTAGGAAGTTTGCTTTTGCTCTGCCTTCTGATATTTTGATACTCCCCCGGACCAATTTTTTTTTTTGAGGCTAAGTAAGAGAATTGAATGAATGGAACTTAATATTCAATAGGAGCTCAACTCTACAGAAAGAAAAAAAATTATAGTTATATACTCTATAATTTTTTCTCCCGTGATATACATAGTAACACCATAGAATCTTTATGTATCTCATCTCATTGGATTGGATTGGAGTGATGAATTATTTATCTACTATTACAACTCACATGTCAGCTTTGTTTTTGTTTTGTTATCAATGACTAAGATTCCTTAGAGATAATACTCCATATAATAAAAAATAAAAAAAACTACTAGGAATATTTAGTGCAATAATATACTAAGGAGTATTAGTAATGGCATGAGTTTTTTATTCCGTGTACTTTTAGATGTAGTACATCATTATTCTACATTCTTTTTATACCATCATCATACAAAGCAATTATTATTTCACTCCTAACATGTACATGTGAATATGTTTTGTCATTTTATCATTCTAAAATATACTCGATATAAGCAATACTTTTTAGATGGATATTTGCATGTGAACATATGATTTTTCCTTTCTTTATCATTAAAAAAAAGTTTAATAATTTTTTTTTTCTCTTTCATTTTTAAACGTACCACCTACTTAATAACAATATAAAATAATAATAAAAAATCTAATAAATCAAATTTTATTATTTTGTAGTTTATTAAATGGCCAACATCACCAAAAGAGAGTTCGACATTCTTGATTTATCCGGTCAAAGGTACCTGGAGTGGAGGGTTGATGCCATTGCTCACCTCAAGGCAAATGACCTCGAAAATACAATTGCTGAAAATAATACATCATCATCTCAGCAAAAGGCAAAAGCCATAATTTTCCTTCGCCACCACCTTCATGAAAGTTTAAAATCTGAATATTTATTGGTGGAAGATCCGAAGGAATTATGGGATAATCTCCAAGAGAGATATGGACATCAACAAAAAGTCCTATTGCCAAGAGCTCAATACGAATGGATCAATTTAAGATTTCAAGATTTTAAGTCCATTTGTGACTATAATTCTGTTATTTTCAAAGTCACGTCCACATTAAAATTATGTGGACATAATATCACTGATCATGACATGTTGGAAACAACTTTTTCCACTATGCATATGTCAAATGTGATATTACAGCAACAATACAGAGAAAGGGGCTTTAAAAAGTATTCTGAGTTAATCTCAGTATTACTTGTTGCTGAGCAGAATAATGAGCTCTTAATGAAAAATCATAATATGAGGCCTACTGGTTGTACACCTACAAATTTTGGTCATCCTGATCGTGGTTCAGCACCGGAATCAAATGTTGTCCAAAGTGGTGCACGTGGACATTTTAAACGTGGCCGCGGAAATAACCGCAACAAAGGGCCGAACAGGGGCTATAAAAATCCAAATGGATCATCCTCCAAAGGAAAAGGAAAATTCAAACCACCAGAGGCTAAAACTTATGAAAAGCCAAAACCAAGTGGTGAATGCTACAAATGTGGCATAAAAGGACACTGGGCGAATGAATGTCGAACGGCAAAACATTTGGTTAAATTATACCAGGCTTCCACAAAAGGAAAAGGAAAAAATGTGGAAGCTAATTATGCTGATGATATCAATCCAATTTTGCCTAAATTTGACGTGTCCGATTTCTAAATGTTGGAAATTTGTATTTTATTTTCATGTGTGCTTGTATTATTATGTCTCTTCTAAAAAAATAATGATAATAAAATGTATGATATTTGTGTTAATTATCTTTAACTTATATTTATTTATATATTTATTTGTATTCAAGATATGGAGATAACTGCTTATGACTCCAGTGGCAAAGAACAATGTCTAATTGACAGTGCCACAACGCACACCATTTTGAGAAACAAAGAATATTTTTCTAAAATGACATTGATGGAAACTAATGTCAATACAATCTCTGGTGTTGCGAAGCTCATTGAAGGGTCTGGAATAGCTTGTTTAATCCTTCCCCAAGGAACAAAATTAATTATCAAAGACGCATTATATTCCAGCAAATCCCGAAGGAATTTATTAAGCTTTAAAAATATGCGTCAAAATGGTTATCACATTGAAACCATGATAGAAAATCAAAAGGAATACTTGTGTCTAACGACAACCAAATCTGGCAATAAAATTATTTGTGAAAAGATGCCAGCGTATTCCTCGGGGCTATATTATACTCACATTAGTCCCGTTGAAGTGAATGTTGTCTCTAATAAAAAATTAGATGACCAGAAAACATTCATTTTGTGGCATGATCGTTTGGGTCATCCTTGCAGTGTAATGATGCACAAAATAGTTCAAACTTCACTTGGACATCCATTGAAAAATGTAAGGATTCCAAGATCAATTGATTTTCCATGTGTTGCCTGCTCTCTTGGAAAGATGATTGTCAGGCCATCTCTAAATAAAATTGGAGTTGAATCTCCTGCATTTTTAGAAAGAATTCAAGGAGATATTTGTGGGCCAATTGCCCCAGCATGTGGACCATTTCGTTATTTTATGGTGTTGATCGACGCATCAACACGTTGGTCACATGT